TTCAGGGTTTCCATTCTACCACCCTTTAAGGGATGACTAGTGAAATAATATAGTCCAGACTTTATGTAGGGTGGTTAACAGTGAATCATTTTCTTAGGGTTTGGTGTGTGTGTGTGTGTGTGTGTGTTGCCAGAGCTAGAACTGATCATATTTTATTCCCAGTTGGAGTGGCTCCTCTGATGCACAGGAAGCAGTATGACTTGTGGTACAGGAAATGCGATAAATTCCCATTTCAGCTGGTCCTTTAGCTTGAGCCTCATCATGATTTGTGTATGTTTTATCAAGGGAACAAGATGACAAAGATGTACTGAAATACTGTTGCATTTCATAAGTACCAGTTATGGAAGGACAAAGAGGAAGTCAGTTTTTCAGTGGTAGTAATGTAGTATGGGTATCCCTTAGTTAACAGAAATTCATCCAACCAGGTTCTGTACATGAAATGTATGGATTAAAGCACAAATTCACTGCACAGAATGGCAGTTCCAAATCTGAAGGTGTTATGCATTTATTAGCTTATTTTTGTGTTTCTCTTTCTAGCATACCTATCTACCTGGTGATTTACTAGTATATAGAGACATTTATCAGTGTAAGAGAATAGAATGCATTTTATTTAACTACATATTGGCTATACTTATATTTTAAAAAGTTAGACATCTGATGTACAAATTTCTATTTGTATTCTTGACCTGGGTACCACAGAAAAATCAGAGTAGAAATGATGGTATTTTATTTTACTCTTCTTTAGTTTCACTTAATAACATTTTAATACTTAGTACATAATGATATTGAATAGAATATTTCTTTTAAGATGTATTTCCAGTTATTTGATTTTTTTTACTCCTTTTTACATTGTTAGATGTATACACATGGACATTTAATGAATTTTCATATATCTTTGGATTTGACAGACTTGTTAAATTCTTATTAAAGCCAATAATTTATCTGTAGATTGTATTAGATTTTTCTATACACACAAGTAACTTGTGAATAGCAAGAATTTCATTCTTTCCTTACCAATTCTTACACTTCTTGATTCTTTATCTTGACTACAACATTGATTAGGCTCCAGTAAAAGTTGAACAGAAGTGAGAATAGGGGGCCTTTTTGTTTTCTTCCTGATTTCAAAGGGAAAATTTTCAATGTTTGATTATTAAGCGTTAGGTTGAATGACTTTTTTTCTTGCTAGACACTTTTCATAATATTCATAGAGCTCCTTTCTATTCTGTAAATCATGAATAGGAGAGGAATTTTATTAAATACTTTTTTCTGTATCTGTTTTGATATTCATATTTTTCCTTTAATCTATATTTGTGATGTATTACACTAATTGACTTTCTAATGCTAAACTTTGTAATCTCAAATAAACCCAACCTGATAATCATGTTATCTTTTCTGTATATACTGAAATAAGTTTACTACCACTTTGCTTATAATTTTACATCTATATTGATGAATGATAACTTCATAGCCTGTAATTTTCCTTTTTAATAATGTGTTTGTTAGGATTTTATATGAAAGATAGCTAGCTCCATATTTTCATGAATAATTGTGTAAGGGTTTTGTTATTTCTTTTTAACCATTTGTTAGATCTTACCAGTGAGGCCATCTGGACCTAGCTGTTGTTGTTTTCTTACTGGGAAACTTCAAAATAGTTTATCTCTATTACAAGAATTTATAGGACTGCTTAGATTTCTTGTTTTTGTGTGCATTTGGGTATATTGTCATGCGGTGGGCTTTTTTTGTTTTGTTTTGTTTTTTGAGACAGGGTCTCACTATATAGCTCAGGCTGGTCATGAACTCATTATGTAGCCCACACTGGCCACAACTTTGTGGGAATCCCTCTGCCTCAGCTTCCCAAGGGCTGGAACTATAAGCATGTATCATTATGCCTGGCTATATTTTTTCTAAATTTTTGTATTTATTGATCTAAAGTGATTCATGAATCTTTCTTTAATAACTATAGGATCTGTGGTGTTGTCTCTTTTTTCTTCAGTGATCTCACTTATTTATGCTTCCTTTGTTTTCCCTTTCTCCAGAAGCTTATCAGATAGTATAATCTCTCAAAGAAGCAACTCCTGGCTACCTTGAAGTTCCCTGTTTTCTCTTACACAAATGCTTGCTTTATTGTTGCTTTTTTTCCTTTGGTTTTAAGTTTAATTCTTTTTTTTCAATTTCAGATCATGCTTCGGTAATTAATTCTCATTCTTTTCTAAAAATTGAATTTTATGGTTAGAAATTTTCCCCTTGATTGAACTGCATTCCACAAGTTTCAGTATCTTGTACTCTTACTCTCATAGGGAATTAAATTTATCTCAATTTACTTTATAGTTTATTTATGAAAACTGATTTTTATAACTATTTTCAAAAATATAGAATTTTATATTATCATTTTTATAAATTTCTAAGTTGATTATTTTTATTCCAATCACTGAAATTTATTGACAGCTTTTTTCTTTTCTTTTTCTTTTTTCCTTTTTCTTTTCTTTTCTTTTTTTTTTTTTTCCCTAGTGGATATTAAATTACATCTCAGCTCCCCACCTTTTCGTTTGTTTTTTGAAATTGGGTCATGCTAAGTTGCCCAGTCGAGGCACAAATTTACAGTCCTCTTGCCTCAGCCTTCCAGAGTGCTGGGCTTACAGGCATGCACCACCTCACCTGGCTTAAGATGTGATTCCTGAGGGATGCATTTTATATTCATCCATAAGGTAAAGTTTCTTAAACCTTGTTTACCTTACTCAAACTTTCTATATCTTGACTGGTTTTTTTTGTTTTGTTTTGTTTTGTTTTGTTTTCTTGTTTGTTTTGTTTTTTGAGACAGGGTCTTGCCATGTAGTTCAGGCAGGCCTTAAACTCACTATGTATCCCAGGATGGCCTGAAACTCATGGTGATCCTCCTACCTCAGCCTTTCAAATGCTGGGATTACAGGCATGAGCCTGTAATGCTCAGCTATCTTTACTGATTTTTGAGATTGCTAAAACTGCCCATATGGTTGTGCATTATCTGCCTCCTCCTGTATCCATTTCTCCTTATAGTTTTTGAAGCAATTCTGTTCTATATGTACTAACGTAGAATTCCTACCAATAAACTGGACTTCCTACCATTACAAAGTGACTCTTTTAAGCTGTGATAATGCTATTTACCATAAGTAGTTTGGAGGATAGCACATTTTTGTCATAAAAGCTCACAAACATGGATGTGTCAAACCTATATTTATTCTTTAGTATATTTCTATTGATGAATTATTAATTTCAATTTTATGAGTTTTAGTATATTAAACAATAAGTGCTTAACAGAAAAAAATCACAAATATAAAGTAAAATTTTTAATATTTATTGTTTATAAAAAAGCATCAAAATTTTCAATATTGACTGGTTTTTGGTGTACAAAGTCCAAAAACTAAACAACAAAAATAAATTTCTATATGAACTATAATAAAAATACCAATAGCCCTCTTCAGAAAAATAACCTTTGCTTCAATTATTACATCTAAGGCACTCTTCACACATGACAGTAGCATGTTCCACTCACAAGTATCACTTACATTGATAACAGGTATGTCTTGTTTTCCTGTCTTTTCTTGTAGGGTCCAGTTGACTTTTTTTGCTTTTTTTGTTATTGTAGTAGGTCTTTGGGATGCTCTGCCTGCCTGTTCACCTGTCAGCTTACCAGTGTGGTCCACAATTTTTTTGTGTAGTTCCCTGGGAAGAAACATTTTGTTTTTCCTCCGCTGTAAATGATCTTTTATGAGTTCCAATCCCAATCCTCTAAGAAAATTTCTCAGTGGTATTTTGCACTGTCATATTATTTATAAGCTATCAAACTATGTATAACACACATGTTTAGGATTGAGTAAATCACCACAATTGACCAATGCTTTGTATTTCGAGTAACATCAAAGTTGCTGCATAACTCATCAACAACATCTACTCCACCTTTGGTCTTGTAGAAAACTCCCATCTCAGGCTCCCCATTTTGTTGATATTTACCAATATTTCCATCATGGTGCAATGTTGACATTAGAAGTACCAGTTTGTTTTTCTTTGTTGCATGACCAATGTTAATCTTTCTGATATCCAAAGATTGTACTGCACACTTCTCTGTTTTGAAATTGTAATATTTCATTTGGAATTTCTGCTTTGTTCTTGTGTGCAATTCCTTCACTGGTCAACTTGTGCTCTGTTAGCAAATGTAACATCAATTGGAGACTGGTAAACCAACAGTTGAATGTCACATTTCATTAGTTTGTGTGATGGGAGCAACAAGTCGGTTCACAACATCATTTGGTTTATTACTATATGAATAAGGATCTAATGGCTGAGGTCCAGGATAAATTTCTAAGTTGAAAGCATAATAAGTCTTCAAATCTACAAAGGCATAAATTTTTATGCCATATTTTGACCCATCACTTTTCCATAAGTCTTTTACATTCCTGCAATTACCATGAGAAACCCCTGCTAAGTACAGCAAAGCTAAATACATAGATACATTTTTATTATGGCTATTGATGCACACAGAATGCTTTACTTGTATTTCAGCCTTTGTGTATTTCATGGCATCTTGTAGCATTTTGTCTGTTACAGTGTCAAACACTGAATGGAAGTGTGTAAATTCTGTCCAATGTTTTATCCCTGCTGAGACTCTCACTGTATTTTCAAACTTAGTTCTAACATTGGATCATTCCATTTGATTGTGTGACCATTTCCCAACATTTCAAATAGTCAAATATGTACTTACATTGTTATTTTCTTTGTCATCTGAATCAAGGAAGTCTGCATTCCCTGTGTCTGTATCACTTAATTCTTGCTCCATTTTATTGTCATGGGAACTTTGGCTTACACAGCAAACATCAAAATCATCATCATCTTTATTGTCATATACTCACACCACTCTTCTGTTATGAAAACATGTATTTTACCATAATAAATTATCTTCATCATCCATGCATGAGTATCTATCTGATGATTCACTTTTGACCTTCTCCAAAACTTGCAAATCTTGTTTCTCACATGCCATTGTACTGAATTGTGCTACTTCTACCAAGAAAATCAAAAGAAAACTTTTTAAAAAATAAATCCCAGAGCAGTGCATGTGTATTATACCCTCCATGATGTTCAGGTAAACATATGCTAAGCCTGTTAGACAGTGTGATGTCTGTAAAAATCCTGGTTTCACACTTTGGCATACATACATTCATCTTGCCTTTCATCATACCAAGTGAGTAAACACAAAAAGTGCTTCCTGTATCCCTCAGGCAAAGGTACAGAGTCACACAGCCAGCTACTATTATGCTAAAGTAAAATATTATAGTAGAAAAGCAGGGGGTGTGTTTGTGGGCTAATATTTATAGACATCAACCTTAGCTTGGTTAGCATTCCTGCAGTATATTTCTTTATGCTTTACCTACTAACCTTTCTACATCCTATGTTTCTGATTTGTCTCTTGAAAACAGAATATAGTTAGGTTGTGTTTTGTTTTGTTTTGTTTTTGTTTTTGTTCAACCAGGAAATCTTTGCCTTTAATCCTTTGCTGGTAGGAACACTTAGTTCATTTAAATTTAATATAGTCTTTGACAGATATGTTATCAAATTCAGATTCTTGTTGCCCTCTTTTTGTCTCATACATTCTATATTCATTTACTCTTTGCTTTCCTTCTTTTATATTAATTTGTTTAATATTTTACCTACTTTTCTTTTTCAGTCTACAATTTACACTCTTACTCTTCTCTTATTGGCTCCCATAGAAAGTACAACATACATTCACAGAACAATTTGAATTTTACAGGGTAATTATAATCTTGCTCTGAACAAAAATAAACTCTTAGAATATATTAATTTCATTTATTGTTATCTTGATTTCTATGCTGTTGTTGTATATTTTAATTCAATGTCTCTTTTGACCCTGCAAGGAATACATTTTTTTTATGTTACCATTGTAAACTTACTCACATATTGTTATTTTTATCATTCTTCCTTCCAATATCTTCCAATTTTACTTCTAGAGCTATCTTCATTTTACCTGGAAGCAATCAGGTAAATTATTAGCCATTTATTTTATTTGATATTAATCTACTTAGTGCCAAATAGCTCAATGTCCATTTTTCTGCAAAGGCTTTTGTTTCATCTACATTATACACAATTTATATTTTGTCCAGATAACAGTTTGGCATGGAGGCTGTAGGGTATCTAAAACTCCCTGGCCCCTACCCACCAGATGACAGCATCTCCTTCCTCCTCAGTTGTAACAACCCACAGTATCTCAGACATTGACAAATGTCTTCTGAGGAACACTGGGCTGAGAACAACTGGTCCACCAGCTCTGGAACCCTAGCTGGTTGTTATTCTGACTTGGCACATTTAATAATTTTATGGTGATCTAGCTTCCATCATTACCACTGGAAAGTCAGCATTAAGTTTATATTTTTGTCTTGACACTCTGGTTTTTATCTTTGATTTTTTTTATTTCATTGTTTCCTAACGATGACTACAGTTGTGCTTTTCTTTATTTGGTGTGAAATATGTTGTTTCTTAAGTCTCTTATTTTACTTATTTCTTGTTGCTGGGACAAAATACCTGACATCCCCAAGTTAGAAGAAGAAAGGTTTATTTTGGCTTACAATCTGTAGAGGTTTCAGTCCATCGTTAGTTGGCTCCAAGGTAGGGAAGCATGGCAGAGGAGAAAGAGCTCATGGCATGGCAGCAGGAAGCAGAGCAAGGTCCAGGCAGCAGTAGACAGAGATACATACCCTCCAGGCCATGCCCACAGTAACCCACCTCTTCTCACCAGGTATCACCTCCTGTCCTGGTTACTTTTCTCTTGTTGCTGGACAAAATACCTGGCCCCCAAAATTAAGGAAGGAAAAGTTTGTTTAGCTCACAATTTGTGGAGGCTTCAGTCTATACTCAGCTGGCTCCAAGGCAGAGTGGCACATGGCAGGGGCAACAGTTCATGCCACCACAAAATGGCAAAAGCAGCAAGAGCAAAAAGGAAGGAGCAGGTGGGAGAACAAGCTACTTTCCCTTTCTTATATTGTAAGCAAATTACCCGCCCCAGGGCAAGTGTAGCACTCACACCCAGCATTGGACCATGAATCAATCATAAACTCTAGAAGCTCACCCCATGACTGCACGAGGCTTTGGGGGAAAACCTAAACACAAACCACAGCACCTCCCTACACCATGCCCAGTGATAAACCCATCAGTGGACTAATGTAGTACTACACACCCATGATCCAGTCACTCCCAAAAGACCCACCTAGGAGCACATCAGTCTTTGGGGGGACCTCCAAGTATAATAACATCTATGGATTGAGGTCCTTTATAAATTTTGGAAAGCACCCATTAACTCTTTTTTGTCTATTTTTTAACCCCAAATTCCCATAACACAAAATTCACCACTTTAAATCATACTAGTCAGTGATTCTAAAAAATTACTATATTTTTCAATCACCATTACTACCCAATTTCAGATTATTTCCATCACCCAAAAAAGAAACATCATTCCTGTTAGTAATCAGGACCAATTTTCTCCTCACCCTTTTCCTGGAGAGCACTAATCAACATTCTTTCTCTATAGATTTGTTGATTCTTACCATGTTTAAAGTGGAATTGTACAATATGTGGTCTTTGAATCTGGCTATTTTCACTTAGCATGTCTTCAAGGTTCATCTATACTGTTTCATAAAACAGTACTCATGCTTTGGTGATTAAATATTTTATAGTATGAAAATAACATATTTTGTCTTCTCAAGTTGATAGAGAAGTTTATAGAAATCTGGATTATTTTCATTTTTAGGCTATTATGTTTATAGAAAGTTTATAGAAATCTGGATTATTTCCATTTTTAGGCCATTATGAATAATGCTGCTAGCAACACTGGTAGACAACTTTTTGAACACATACTTTCAATTGTCTTGCATATTTGACTGTTTTTTATGAGCTGTCAAATTGTTTTCCACAGTGGCTGCATAATCTTATATTTCCTCCACAACCTCAAAAAACCTTTGTTGTTTTGTACTTTTGTGATTGAAGTCATTTTAGGGAGTGTGAAATAGTAATTTATTGAAATTTGGGTGTGCCTTTCCCTAGTGACTAATGATGTGAAACACTTTTTCAAATATCATTAGTTATTTATATATCTTATTTGGAAAAATATCTATTCAAATCCTTTGCCCATTTCTAAATTGGCTTGTCTTTTCACTACTGACTTGTAAGAACTCCTTATATATTCTGATTACTAGATTGGATCCTTAACAGATTTGCAAATATTTTCTTCCATTCTGTAGGTTGTCTACTGACCCAGCATGATGTATAAAGGAAGAAGAAACACACCTTTACTGTTGTCAGTCATTAAGAATCTTTGGTTGTTACAGATTGCAGAATAACTTAATGAACATTAACAATTTGCATTTAACTTTGTGCCTCTGCATTATATTCCTGTCTCCTAGTGATCTTGAATTGTTTCTTTGATTATTCTTCCTCACTGATTCCTCTGGTCTAGAAATTTTGGTAGTTTGATATCAGACCTCCTGAATCATTTTTCTATATTCCTTATCTTTCTCTTCTATTGTTTGAATATTTTTGCACTTTTTTCTAGGAGATACCATTGTCTTCTAAATCTTCCATTGTGTTGTTCAGTCCTACTCTGAATTTTTTTCTCTATATATGGCTCCTCTAGGTTACTTGGTATAACTTACTTTGTTTACATCTACTTCGGAAGTTTCATCAAATTTCTGGTGGGTCGGTTGCTTAGAATGGGGAAGTAAAAAAGTCATTATAAGCTCTGAAATCTCACAGTGGAGTATCTGCAGCGAGTCACTTGATGTTTATGAATTTGTTCCTCACTTTAGTATTTTGCAAGCCTTTGTATTTTGCACAGGGACTTTGTGCTAGCATCAGACACTATTCTGTTTTTCAATTTGATGATTAATTTCTTAAGGGAATAGGTCTTATCTCAGGAGATCTGTCCCAAGATCCACACTTGATCCTTGAATATTTTGAATACCTGCTTATTTATTAAATCTTTATGTTTTTCTTCATGATCTGGTCAGGCCCTAGGCCTGAAACTTTTGGCTTCTTATCTAGAGGCTGAGTTTCCAAGGTCTTTTGCGTCTTTAGAGCCAGATAAAGAAAAGTGACCAGGAGGAAAGGAGAGCCATCTTAGCATTTGGTAGGAAATATGCACTTGCCCTGTTTTGATACTAGTACTCTCTGACTTCTCTTGTGACAGGTACCCTCTAGTTCAAAGCCTAAAATCTATCCACCTCTGATAGTAAACTTCCAGTCTCCCCTACTGGTAAAGAAGAAGCTTTGCCCTCATTAAGCAAGAAATACTAGTATCACACCTCTAAGAAGAATTTCAACAAATTCTCTTGTTTTAGCCCTATTTTTGCCCTGTGCTTACAAAAATTGCCTGGAGTCTTCCAGTTGTCACAGTTCTGCTATATTATTTGTTTTGTTTTGTTTTTAATTCTTCTTACTGCCAACCTACAATTTTGCCCTCTTAGTTCTTGTCAAACTTTATTCTAATGATTTTAGGCAGCACTTTTGTTTTTTTTACTTTTACTTATTTTATTTTAAGAAATAAAAGAAGGAAAACATATTAACAAACAGACATCCATT